TGGCTCTCAACCCCTCACCCCAGCCCTCGCCCCAAATTCCCTGTGCATTGTACCAGTATGCCCAGTCATCCAGCTTGCCCATTATCAAACCTGTAACTTTAAACAGGCTGCAGCTGAAGCAACAATTCTGACCTAGCTGCTCACTACAACACTCTGCCTCCTGAACAGGCACCAACCCTGAGACGTTCTGCACTCACAAGATCTAGCCTGCTATCCAAATGGTATTTACTAAGCAGATATTGATCTGAACAGAAGCCCCAGACACTGATGAAATACTGCCAGAACTTACGTTTGTGATGATTCGGTGGAGTGAATTTACCAGCACATAATGAAATGTTGATGGGGAATTCTGTGCCAAGCAGATCTACAATCAAAATACATAAAAGCCACTTAGGAATATCTTTGTCTTTGCCATCTTTCTTATCATTCTGAAAAACATTCTGGAGCCTTTTTATTAAATTGACAAAGCTGTCAAATCTGAACAAGAGAAGCCTAATCAGCTGTGAAAAGATTTATCAAAACATGCAGGGATTTATTACTAAGGGATATTTATACAGTTGAACTCATTTATGAGCTTCAAGCTGCTGTTAGCACAGCTTTTATAACTGACAGATTGTCAATAGTATGTAGAGAATGACTTACCATAAGCAGTGTTCTTACCTTGAAGTGTTGGTTATTGTGAGGATTAATGCGGAAGCAGGAAACCAAGCAGTCAATCATCAGGTCTACATCTGCATTCTGATTGCCTCTTGAAAAAGGTTTGCTTGGGTTAAACAGCAAATTCTATATAATTCAGAAAGATATAAATATATAAATCAGATACCATTATTATTCTTGGCTACTTTTAATACAAAACTTTCAACTGAAAACCACTGGTATTCAATTAAGAAATTCAAAATTAACTTCATTATTTCAAATTTCTTCACTGCAATTAGGAAATAGACATTCTTACCTTAAGATCTACTACCATGGACTGCACTAGCAGGAAAATGACAGAATTATCTTCCCAGTTGATGTACGTAGATGCTTTGCACAGTTTAACACAAGCAATAGCAGCACTTTCAGTCAGCTGCCTGCTCCCACTGTGTCCTGCCAGGGCCTTCCTGAGATTGTCCAGGAACAGCTTCTGCAGAATTCCAAGCAGGGATAGTTATAACCAGACACTGTGATGGCAGAAACCCACTGGATGCAGCACCCTGGAGAAATCCTGTCATTATTAAAGACATTCCCTTTGACAGAGCTGGGGCAATCAGAATGGCACAAGAGGTGGTTGTTCACTCTCAGCCCTCATGCTGCAGCCACATCAAACCAGCACCTGTGGGGCTCACAGCCCCCTGCAGACCCCAGACCCTCAGCACAGCCATTTGCTGCGGGTGGAGGCAGAGGAAATCACAGCACAGAGATTCAAATCTCCAAGGAAATGGAAAGTTCTGAAATAACTTTGTTTGGGACATACTATCTGTATGAATTACTGACAGTAAAAGAACGTATGTAAGGTGAGAACTTAAAAAGAGTGCATAAATTTACATATGGAATTGTAATGTGCTCTTGAAGGAGGAAAGACAAAATTAAACATCCTTGAAATACAGAATCAGCAAAACCAAGCCAACTCTAAAAACCAGAGCCAGAATTCATTCTCTTACCTTGTTCATTTTAGTTTCCTCTACCACATCCTTTGCTATATCTTGGATTATCTCTGGACACAGGACCAGGAGGATGATCTGCAGTGGCCACACTGCTGCTTTACGCTTTGTGCTTTCAGCAAAGCCATCCACTAAATCAAACAACTTCTCAGCACAATCTGCATAAAACATAAGCCCAAGTCCAATACCAGTTTTAACTATGAAGAGGTAAAGAACAGGTATAAAAGAGCAGAGGGATGGTTCCACCTACACAGAAGGAAAGTTCTGGTCTGCACAATACTGACATGCTACTGGGGATCAAATGGTCTCAACCCAGTTAAAGACATAGTTTACCTGAAAATATAAATTCTCCTCTCTTTTTCACTAGAGACAAGTAAAGGTGATGTTCTCTAAGATTTACCCTGTATCAAGATGAAAAATATAAATTTAAAGAGTCTCCATCTTTTGGGGTTTATTTCTTTGTGTTGTGAAGCACAAAATGAATCTCGTTTAAGAGGGGAGTCAGGAAAGAAAACAGACAGGAACATACTCTTGCCTGCCCTGACAAAGGCTGACAGAAATTTGTTTATTTGCAGGCTGCACAAGGAGCAAAGAGGGCACAAAATGCAAGTGAATGCATTTGGTGATATCTGAGAAACCAGCCTCGAACACTGCCATGTGTTATGCCTTACCAGCCATGTCAGTCTGCGGGGTTTGGTACAGCTTTGTGAATTCATCAGGATAGTTTTCCACCCAGTTCCAAAATGCCTGCAGATAATGGGAAACACCTTCACATTCCAGAGCTTCAAGAATTTTACTAAATTACACATTTAAACAAAGAGAGGTTTTATTCTTAATTCTAAACACTCAAAATTTCTTGCAAAACATATTTGCATCAAAGGGAGGCAGCAATTTTTATTTTATAGTAAATTACTGAATTGCAACTATTGCTAAACTAGAAGAAAGTCTACAAATAAGCAATGAAACAGAAGTACTGAACACTTACCTTCTCAAGACTGTTGATAACAGCTAACTGAGCTACTTTCTTTAGAGCTTTAAACTTGAATACAGTCTCTGTAAAGATAAAATATTTCTGCATTTAGAACAGAAACTTGTTCTAAAAACAACACAGGTTATACAAGATATTTGAAGCACAAAGCAATTTTCAAATCAATATTTTAACAGTACTTAACTACTCTTAAATACTTCAGTAAATACATGACTGCTTGGAGTAAAACAGAGCAATAAACCCAGATATACCAATTGCACTGTGTCATCTCTGACTAATCAGATTAAAATAGAAATATTTCAAAACACAGGCTCAGACCATACCTTGCAAGAGTCGCTTGAGTTTTGAACAATCCACACTGATGTACTGTAAAAGTTCAATATCATGAACATCAGCATTATCCTCTGAACAAACAGTCAGTTCCTGCAATCTAAAAATACACAAAGTAAGCAAACTTTTCCATCAGATCCTGCCAGACAGGTACGAACACACCTGTGAGATTATACATTTCAATAGCAGGACAATGTTCCATCATCTCAGATGAACATTTCCAGATTTAGAAATAAAAGATCTTGCACGATTAAGACTTAATATTACAGTCTTGTGCCATCCTCATACTGAAAATGGAGCTAGAAAACCAGTGATGATCTTACAAGATGCCAGTACCTTCTGTGGATTGACTGTGCCCAAGATTTGCCTAAATGCTCCTGTTATCCACCCTCCTGTGGCAGTAACCTTGTCATCCTTTCAACTGCACCCTGAGGTCATGGGCTCCTGGCACCTTTAGGCTGCTGCTCCTTCCCAGCAGGTCCTGGCCCAGGTGGGACCTCAGAGCACGGCAGGGACTGAGGGTACCACTGGGTATCACTGCAGTGAGCTACAACCATTCTTGCTCCACACTTCTCTGGCCTGAGCACACAGGATGAAGTTTAATCACACCAGTTTAAACACAACAGCATCTTTTCACACTGCTGTCCCAGAGAATTTGCTCAGCATCTCCCAGACACCAAGGCACTGATCACTGCAGCATCTGTTCCCACAAACTCGGAGTGCCACGGCTCCTTCCAAGGCTACAGATGTGTTTCAGACACGGAATGTGATTTCTAGTACTAGACACAAAAGCAGTTCTTCACGTCTTCAGCGCCAAGGAAACTTAACAGCCCTCGCTGGGAATGGGAAGGTCCCCACTGCAGTGCTTTTCATGCCAAAAATCCCCCAGCTGCTGTGCAAGGCCCAGAAATATGCCTAAACAGGAAACCCAGGTCAGGGATCAGCAGTGCTGACTGGCAGCAGGCTGACCCCTGTGGAGACCAGCAACAATTGGTCAAACATTTAACTGTTGCTGTACAAGCCATGTGCAAGGGCAAACAGGTTAGGGGAGAAGCACTCTGCTCCAGCTCAAAGGGATGCTGAGGGGGCTCTGGAGCAGGGGAACAAACCATGCTACAGCCACACAAATACACACAGGTCCAGCCACTAGATTCAAGGATTATCAAAAAGTTTCAACCGAAAAATGCTTCCAATAGAAGGAGCAAAAGAAATTGTTTCCATTTCCATAAGCAACAAAACACTATCAACCTACAGAATAAAACAACATTCCCCATGCTAGCTGCCAAGTCTATGTTCTTGAAATAAAGTTATTAAAGGTTCTGTAACAACTTAGAAAATACTTTAAATTTCAAATTACTCAATCATTTTAGACTGAATTCTAAAACACAAACATTTTCCAAAGAAATATATAAACATATGAGGAAAATATAAATCTTTGTTTCAATTAAATTGGCTCGCTCATTGCTATGTGACCATGTAAGGCTGCCCAAGCTCCATTTCTAATAATTCAAGAATGATGTCAACTGTAACACTGTGTGACAAGAGCTCAGCCACTTCAAGCACCTTTCAAAAATATCAAAGTACTTCAGTAATAAAAAGCTTAGCACACCACTCTAGTGGACTGACAAATGCTGAAGCATCAGAAGGATCTGGAACAGAGCAAAAAGAGACAATAGATGGAAATTTTGGGCCTGTCTCTCTTCTTACTTAGAAAAGCAGAAAATCCAGTTATTTTTACAGTAGATGTGCTGTGAAACTCAAATCAGAAGACAAATGGGTCTTTTCCAACAAGTAACAAACAGCCCAGCTGTTTGTCCCCTTCAGGCATAAGACAGATTTAACACAAAAGCTTCCTAGCAGGAAAACAATCATGGGGCTCCAGCAGAGTTGTGGACAATCACCAGTTTTCATTCCAAATTCGTAAGTAAATGGATACAACCATTAGCTTCGGCATTCTTTTTTTTTCCAAGACACCTTGCACCCACAATAACTTAACTTCTGTTGCATTATCTTCACTCACTATTTTCAGTGGTACTTTTGAAAGCAGATTTAAAAAAAGCAATAAATGCAGCCAGCAGTAACCCAGGATGGGGTTGAAATGGGTTCATTTCATAACCTGAAACCCAAGTAAACCTTTTACTCTGCCCAGTGAAAGGTTGAGGGCATTCCACTTGAGAACTACCCCATTAAAGAGTATTTAAAGCGTTGGATCCTCTGAACAGCTGGTGGCAGACAGAGGCTGCAGGCACAGTGCAGATGCTGTGATGCTGTCCCTCCCTAGGGGGCTGGCTGCACACAGCAGTGCAGATGCTGTCCCACC